AATACATAAGATAACAAAATTTATTCGGCTCTAGTCATGGCTTCAAGTCAACCAAGGCTCTATGTTAGCGTCAACTTCATATTCAGCTTCCATTATTTCCTCATCAAAATCTGACATAAAACGTTAGGGCAACAAAACATATGACATGAGTTTTGCAACACAATAAGAAAACACATACAAACCAAACTTTCTTTTTAAGAGAAAAATAACGAGATTGTAAATATGATACAACAATATAATTCCAAATATAAATTACAACCATTAAAATAATTTCAACAATTTTAATAAATTAAGTGACACTCGAAATCTCACCAAAGAGATTTAACTTACCAATCACTAAGTCATGGCCACGGTTAATTTGAAATCCCCCATTTGTCAAATATTCAAGTGTTACCAACCGTAATTACTAGGGATGCCCACGTTCAGAGTTATATAACCAAGCAGTGGCATCCGTGATCTGCCCTAAGAAAACTGTCTGCCAAAGGTACGGAACCTCTCTATGTGCCACCTATACATCTACCCTTATTCCAAAACCAAATCCAATAAGGGTTCAAATAAGTCTCGTCCTATCTTAGGATTTTGCAACACAAATTATATAAAAATTGTCAAAATCAGGGTTCACCTTGAAAAATCGGTATTAACCATCAACCATTAATTTCTTACACTATTTAAAACGATATTAACCGTTAATTTCGTACACTTCATTGATAATTTTAATTAATTTTCATAATAATTACAAATTAGATTACAATCAATATTATACTGTTTTAATACATTTTTCGACAGAAAATATTAACACATATGTTCTACAATAATCCATCAATGTTTACAAATTATTGTAAATAGTTAAATCAAAAGTGTGAACTAATAATGTTAAATACTAAAATAAATCACAACAACGCATATGCATCAACTATTAATTGACAATATCAAATTAAATAGATTATCACAACACTTACTTTTAGTTCTAATAAATAATTGAATAGTAATCTTGATTCTTTAATATTCTGGCTAGAATTTTCAAAACACAATCTTTGTGGTTAAAATTACAATTGAATTATTTAGACAAATCTAAAATTCATGTAATTCCCTGGAATGTTCAACAAATATATTATGGTTATTGTTTAGAAAGAATGTCCCAAAAATAAGTAATTCTAAAAAATTACAAGAAATTACATAATATAGATTCGTCATATTTTCTTAAAATAATTTCACACTGAAATTTATAAATCAAATCCTTAATCTAAAAGTTGAGTATGAAACTATACTTCTCAAATTTCATTTTTCGCTGAGAAAATACCAAATTTGGTATAATATAGAAGTTTTAGTGATTTTCCAAACATGAAGCAGAATCTATCTAAAAATTCAAATTTAATAAAAATTTCATATAAATTTGTACAAAGCTAGAATAATTGCTAAAAAAATTTGTTGATGAACTATACATCATTATTAAGAACATTTTAGAAGAAATCATCTTGAAATGTTGAGTATAAAATTATCTAAAAATTCGTACAAAATTTTGACAGATTTAAGAACTATATGATCAGACCAAATAGAATCTCTAATCATCTATTTAACATCACAAATTACAGATGTAAGCCTAAATTCAAGATTATATCATGATTTTAAAACTAATAATGTATAAATAATTTTTAAACATCTGGCTCTGTTTGGGCAGAAAAAAGTTGGGCTTTTTTTTTGGCTAAAATAGCCATAAAAAACAAAATAGATTTTTTAGCCCAATAAGACAAAACATCACATCCAACCCATAATCATTACATTCTTTCTCTCACAAAAAAGTCAAAAAAACCAAAAGCCCTTCCCAAACGAGGCTTTTAAGCCTCAAGCTAAAATAGCCAAAAAAATAAAAAAGTCAAAAAACCAACCTACTTCCCAAACGAACCCAATATATATTATAAATTTATATGCAATAGAAACAAATTCTATCTAAAAATTTTAGTCACTTTAATATATGAATATAATATGGAAATTTAAACAAATAAAAGAATGAGGAGATTTTCTTACTTACAATGAGTTTGAAATGATGTGACAAAATGGAAGGGAGATTCTAACCTTTCTTTTTCTCATCTTCTTCTCTCCCAACTCTAACTTTGCTGTCAAAAAGTTTTTTTCCTTTTTTTTAGCTTTCACTCTCTTTGATGATTTAAGAAACAAAACTGATACAGACCCCTATTTGGGGGTGACCCCCACCACCCCTACATACACGTAAGGGTCAAAGAGAAAAAATAAAAAATTAGACCAATCAACATTCACTGGGGGTGGTGGGGCTCCTACTTAGGACTGGTTTGACAACCTTAGAAAAAGTCAAAAAGTTATCAAAAAAGTTAAAAAGTTATCACTATTCACCAAAAAAATATTAAAAAATTAATATACAAATATTAATACAAATCAACTTTTTGGCCCAATCTAAGTACTGACGTGATGAACTAGTCTGTGAAAGGAAACAAAAAAAAAATATAAAAAAATCCATGTGTATATTCACTAAATTGGATGGTAAAGCTGGGCCCGTGAGGGCCCATCATGGGTCCCATTTTGATAATCTGAACCGTTTAATATGTCGAACTCGTCTAGTACTATATGCTTGTAAAAAATCACATCTATCGAATATCGCTAACTACATGATCAAATCAGTTTTGTATAATAATGGATTGTATTATAGTTAGCAGCTAACAAAAAAAATTAACACGATCAGATAACTATCAATATCCAACCAACGTGATTTTTTACAAGCATATAGTACTCGACGAGTTATACACATTGAACGGTTCCGATTAGAAAAATGGGACTTGTGGTAGGCTCCCACGGGCCAAATAACACCATCCAATCAAAGCTCGAGAAAGAAACAATATTTTCTCATCTACTCAACCAGCTAACTCCACCACCAATTCATACGATCTTCTACCCTATCTTTTCCTACACACTTATTTATACAATTTTTGAATACACATTTTTTCATAAAAAGTCAAAAAGTTAACTCAAACATCCATATTTTTTTTTCTCAACTTTTTAATCTAAAAAGATAAAAAAGTGCACTTATTTCGCATACCCCAAACAACTCCTTATTTTTGTTTAAGAAAATAGAGAGTTGCATGCACCTATCAAATATGATAGAGACCCCCACTCCCTCCCACTCTCACTATCCCATACAGGTGAGGGTTGGTTATTAGAGAAGGAAAAAAATAAAAAATAAAATAAATAAATAAATAAATAAATTTCTGACCAATTACAACTCATGGGGATCTAGGGGTTTAATTTTGGCCCGTGGCCCGCGGGCGGCTCGAAACCCGTCCGCAGCCCGAGGTGGGCCCGGCCCATTAAGGCCCGAGCCCAAGCCCAGCCCGATGCCTTGGGCTAGGCCCTGGGCCATCGTTTTGAAGCCCGGCCCAACTCGCTTGGCCCGCTTAAGGCCAGCCCAAAAGCCCGGCCCGCCTGGCCCACCCGATGCCCATTTTTTTTAATGGAAAATAATTAAATTTTGGTGGAAAAAAATTAAAAAAAGTTATTTAGGCCCGCCCAAAGCACGAGCTCAGGTCCAAGCCCAAGCCCCTGGGCTCAGCTCATTGGCCCGCCTAAAGGCCGAATACCCCTAGGCCTAATTTTTCTGGCTCGTGGACCGGTCCGACCCGGTCCGGTTTTTTTGACGAGTGCCCGCAAAGCCCGACATGAACCCGACCCGATCTGAATTCGAATGAACCGGATCAGACCGAGCCAAAATTACACCCATATTGGGATCCTGGGGTCACCCCTAATGCGGGTAGGAGCGTTTTTCATGCACCTATATACATGCTGAGCGTATCCAATATACAACCTAAGCTTTCTCCTCATCACAATTCTTCCAAAATCTACTTGTTTTCATTACAGCTTATTAGCCTACCAAGCAAGTAGACAAGGGTGACTAAACGCCCACCGGCCACCTCACCCTTTTTTTTTAATAAGATGATAAATTTATATAATCATGTATTTGTATAGTTTCTTAAAATTAATTAATTAAGATTTTTAATTAAGGTATTTAATAAGAATAATTATTAAGTTGAATATTTATCAAAAATAATTACAAATAACAAATAACAAATATTGAATATATACAAAATTATTATTTTTAACAATATTTTCATTGGTGACTAAATTAGAATTAACTTATACACTAACATCTATATATCTATATATATATATATATATATATTTTAGATAGACTTTGGATAAAATTAATTAATTAATTTATTTATTTTCTTCTAAGAATAATTAAATGCGGATTCTCACAACCTGCCCCCGAAGGGTATACCGTATGCATCTTATAAATAAAAAAAAAATGATATAATTTTATACTTTTTAAATTATAATAAAAAAATAACAAAAGTTATAACCAAATAATATGAAACATAATAAGCCCCTGTTTGGGAAGATATGTTGGGTTGAATTTGGGGCTATTTTAGTTACAGAAAAATAAAATAAACTGTTTAGCTTAATAAGATAAAATATCACATCAAACCCACAATCATTACATTTTTTCTCTCACAAAAAGTCAAAAAAATCAAAAAAAAAAAAACTCATTTCAAACGAGGCTTTTTAACCTCTGGCTAAAATAATAAAAAAACGAAAAAACCAACTCACTTCTCAAACGAACCTTAAAAAATCTGATAAGTACTGATTAAAAAAAAATTCATAATTTAATTAATGGAAAAAAAATTAGTCACAACTAAAAAAAATTAATATAAGTTAAGAGTACATTTAGACCTTGTTTAGAAACTAACATTTTAGTCAACTCACTTCACATGTTATAATGTACGTTTTCTATTTTTTTGTATATTTTTTAAAAAATAATTAAAAAATTATTAAAATAATCTGTTTTCAAACCAAACTATAGTAGAGAGTGCGGATAGTAAATTTCTTAATAATAAATTCAACTAATCTATGAGGAAAAAATATTCATGAAACAAACCAGAATTATATAACGAACTAAAGAGGGCTAAAATACTATATGATATAATTATTTTATATATATAAAAAATATATATACAGAACATTATACAATTAACGTAACATGACCCACACGTTTGTTCCGCGACACAATTGGGAAAATAAAATGATGGTCAAACAAAGCCTTAAATTCTGTCTCTCTGCAATGGCTATCTGCCGTCCCTTCCAGCGGCGAAAGACAGAGGAGAAGGAGGGCCAGCTTCAATATCAACATCAACATCACCATGGTCATGACCATTACCATCCGATGAACACAAGCTCGTCTTCTCAAAGTAGGGCGACGAAGGGTATGAATGCACGAAATCCTCAATCTCAACACCACCACCACCACCACCACCATTGCTACTAGTGCCACCGCCGCCCTTCTTCCCATCATATTCATCGGGCGGTGTCAGCACCTCCGGCAGCGACACCTCCCCTTCTAGATACCTCACCACCTGCCTCATAGTGGGTCTCTTCGCCGGCAAATTGTTTGAACACATCAACCCAAGCTTGAGCACCACCACCACCTCACTCTCATCATACTCACCTCCCAATCTGGAGTCAACAACCTCAAGAAGATCCCCCTCCTTCCACCTATCCCAAACCCAATCCACCAAAACAAGCTCCTCTGGCAAAGCCTTAACCTCAATTGGTCTCCTTCCACACACAACTTCTAGCAACAAAGCTCCGAACGCGAACACATCGGAGCTCGTCGTAGGCTTACCCGTCCTCGTCAGCTCCGGCGCAAGGTACCCCAGTGTCCCCACCACTTTGGTTGTGCTTGGGTTCGACCCGTGCTTGCACAGCTTCGCTAGCCCAAAATCTCCGACCCTGGCATTCAATTCTGAATCTAGCAGTACATTCCCTGCTTTAATGTCTCTGTGAATCACTGTCTCTTCCCATCCTTCGTGCAAGTATAGCAACCCAGAGGCTACCCCTTTTATGATCTTCAACCTCTGCTCCCAACTCAAAATCGTTTTGGGTTCATCAAAAAGGTACTTATCTAAGCTTCCATTGGGCATGAAATCATAGACAAGCAACAGATCGCCTCCCCTTCGGCACCATCCCAGCAACTGGACCAAGTTCCGGTGTCGAAGCCGCCCAATACTAGCAATCTCCGACGAGAATTCACGCAATCCCTGTTTCGATTCGTGCGATATCCTCTTAACCGCGACTTGGATTTTTGAATCTGGCAGTGTCCCTTGATAAACTCGGCCAAATCCCCCAAACCCAAGTAGCGATCTGTCTCTGAACCCACTCGTCGCTTTCTTGAGCTCTCTGTAGGAGAATCGATGTGGGCCGATATTGACCTCCCAATCTTCAACTATGTCCGCGTTCTTGATCTTTATGATGAGATAAAACGCGATTCCAATTGCACATACAATGACAGCAGCAGTAGATACAGAAACCCCAGTGATGAAGGCCTTGTTGTTGTTCTTGTCCCAAATAGAAGGAAGTGAAGATAAATTGAGAGACTGAGCTTGTCCATTGATCTTGAAGCTCCACCCTTGTATGTAATGATAGCTTGCAAGCTGCCCTGTAGAAGCAGAGAAGCCCACGTACATGGCGTCGTAGTCGTAGTCTTCGAAAATCCGAGTGAGATTGATCGGATATGACAAAATTGGAGATTTGGGTTTTGTTGAAGAGAGTGAAAGCGTGACATTCACTTCTTTTCTGGTGGAGTCGTAGTCGATCCAAGCCTGAATTGTTTTCCCACTCTTGAGATTTAATTCTTTTGGGGCAGAATTGCCTTGGACAAAGCAGCTAACATTAACAGACGCATTCGATGTTAAGCCATTGATGTCGATACCAACATGATTGTCACTGATGTCTTTGTAGTCACTGTCTTGTACGGTGTCGAATTCGACAGCAAACAAATGGTTAGAGAACTTGCCATTGTTGGTCTCATTGAAAAGACCCAAGTACCGACCCGAAAGTGCTCCGTGAAAATCATTTGTGGGTGAGATGGTAAAAGCCAAACCATGGCCACCAGTGCCTGTGAATTTTGGAATGATAGCGAAAGCAAAGGCGGTAGAGAAAGAGAAAACAGTTCCTCTGGTTGTGGAGTTCTTGAACTTGATAGGAGTTGGGTAGAACGCGTGACCGATCAACCCTTTAGAGTCGTTGGTCAGCTTGAGGACGCCATTCTTCTCAATTTCTGCAGCATCGGTTAGGGTTAGGTTGTTCTTGGCAAGTGTCTTAAACCCTTGATAAACAAACTCATCCAACTGAGACAGAACTGGGTTTGTTGAGATAATAACGAAGAAGACCAAGAAATATTTTTGTTTTTTCGCCATTAGAGAGGTCAGAGCTCAGCTTGTTTCTGGATCAGAAGACGTTTAGATATGATCTTGTGATCCGAATAATTGTTGTGGTGGGCATGTTTACATGTTTGTTTGTCTGGTTGAAGTGGAAGGTAAGTGGAAAGAGAGAGAAAGAGAAAAAGTGAGAGAGAGAATGAGTGGTGATTTTCACATGCGAGTAAGAGTGGTGATTTTCACGTGCGAGTAAGTACGATGAGACTGGACGCACATGGGTGCACCCTACATTCCGTCCATTGATTGGAGGCTCAAATACCGACCATATGATTTGTAAGATATCTCTAATAGTGAAGTAGAATCATCATTAAATTTGAATATGGTAAAAAAAATAATTTTTTTATTTGTAACGATTTCATCAAAATGATATTAAATTGAGAATGGACAAAATTTTTATCAAATTGTGAAATTGGATCAAGTTTCACCAAAAGTATGTTTTCGTTGGAGGTGATCCCACCGGACAACCGATTTTCCGGACTAACGTCTCATTCCCACACTCTCTTCTTCCTTTCAATCCCCCACTCTCTCTGTCTTTCTCTCTTCACTTTCAGAAACCTCCACCATGATTTTTCTACTTAACTTCGATTCTGTTCCCCTGAAGGACTACGATAAGCTATGGAGTATCTTCATTGCCTCGGTTAAAGGTTTCACCATTGGAGCTGGTCTAATATGGACATATATAAAATTTTCTTCCAGGTTTAGGGAGCATCAACAATAAAATACGATGGGGTGGAAGTTCAGATATTCTTGTAAAGAAGCTAATTTTTTCTGGTCAAACAAACAACACAGGTGAACATAAAAGAGCAAAAGAATCTAATATATGTTTATGTATTCAATTTCAAGCTTACAACTGTACTTAAAATCCACAACAATAACTCACCAAGAATCATGTTAACTCGAAAATGTAAAATGTTCTAAAATTTAAATACCAAAGACCAAACTCAGAGAACCATAACTCACAAACCAATGGAATAAAGAAGCTAAAATAAAGAACCATAACCCACAGACCAAACACAGGTGAACTTAATTTTTTCTTATAAAGGCGGCCTCTCTCTCTTTGCCGTTCACACTCACTTCAGACGCAGATGATTATCCACCTCCTTCATACTAACAATTGATAAGGAATCAAGAATACCAACTAGTTTGTTGATTACACTTTTTTTTTTACAGTTGGACTCATTTGGAGGGGCAAAAAAAAATTCAGCCTTTTCGGTCGATTGGCCGGTCGTCCAGTTGGCGTCCCTACCTTTTGATGCAAGACCGTTGGAGTATCTTGTATCAGATTGAGGAAATCGCCTATTTTCTCCTCAGATTTGATGAAAAAAAATAGTTCACCATTGGAGATGTTCTAAGATGGTATGCAAGGAAAGGCTTGATTAGTGCATCCTGGTAGAGCTGCAAATGAATCGAGCTGTTCATGAATAAATTCGAGCTCGGCTCATTAAGGCTCGTTCGAACTCAGTTCACTTACTAAATAAACGAGTTCGAGCTTAAATTTTAAGCTTGTATAATATACGAGCCGAGCTTGAGCTTAATAATGCTAGAATCGATTAGGCTCGCGAGCTTAAATAAATATATATATATATATATATATTTATTTAAGCTCGCGAGCCTAATCGATTCTAGCATTATTAAGCTCAAGCTCGGCTCGTATATTATACAAGCTTAAAATTTAAGCTCGAACTCGTTTATTTAGTAAGTGAACTGAGTTCGAACGAGCCTTAATGAGCCGAGCTCGAATTTATTCATGAACAGCTCGATTCATTTGCAGCTCTACCAGGATGCACTAATCAAGCCTTTCCTTGCATACCATCTTAGAACATCTCCAATGGTGAACTATTTTTTTTCATCAAATCTGAGGAGAAAATAGGCGATTTCCTCAATCTGATACAAGATACTCCAACGGTCTTGCATCAAAAGGTAGGGACGCCAACTGGACGACCGGCCAATCGACCGAAAAGGCTGAATTTTTTTTTTCCCCTCCAAATGAGTCCAACTGTAAAAAAAAAAGTGTAATCAACAAACTAGTTGGTATTCTTGATTCCTTATCAATTGATAGTATGAAGGAGGTGGATAATCATCTGCGTCTGAAGTGAGTGTGAACGGCAAAGAGAGAGAGGCCGCCTTTATAAGAAAAAATTAAGTTCACCTGTGTTTGGTCTGTGGGTTATGGTTCTTTATTTTAGCTTCTTTATTCCATTGGTTTGTGAGTTATGGTTCTCTGAGTTTGGTCTTGGTATTTAAATTTTAGAACATTTTACATTTTCGAGTTAACATGATTCTTGGTGAGTTATTGTTGTGGATTTTAAGTACAGTTGTAAGCTTGAAATTGAATACATAAACATATATTAGATTCTTTTGCTCTTTTATGTTCACCTGTGTTGTTTGTTTGACCAGAAAAAATTAGCTTCTTTACAAGAATATCTGAACTTCCACCCCATCGTATTTTATTGTTGATGCTCCCTAAACCTGGAAGAAAATTTTATATATGTCCATATTAGACCAGCTCCAATGGTGAAACGCATAATATTTTTATTTTAATGCGTTTCTTTTAAAAAAATATATATTTAAAAAAAAAACACACATTTATCATCATTTTTGGAGGTAAGAATAATAAAATGAAAAACTTATGATTCTCAGGTTAATTTAATTTAATTTAATTTTTTTAATGGATAATACACAAATAGGACCCTACATATTGAACTTTTACTGATCATCAAAAATGGACTCGTGGCGATAGCCAAGTTTAGATTTGAATTTGAGAGAAGCCAAACCTAATTGAGAATACATGATCACATGATTTAATTACATTTATCTTATATCTAATTATGTGGTTATCAATATCTAATGAATCATTTTCATACATAGATGATATACTTAACAAGAACAACAAGATTTATAATTTGAATTATTGAAATAGGTTTTATGTAGGTGATCAATTGTCTTGTACTAACATTAAAATTTTTCATTACGTCATTCATTAGAGTACCACGTGAATAATGCCACATGGGAGTACTATGTAGAGTACCACTCCTTCTATTGACTTATAGCGATCCGGGCTTAGACCCGACCCATTTATTGCTTTCAAATTCAGGAAACCATATCGGTAGTGGTCGTCCTTCCTTTTTCTCTTGTTGGATTATGGCTTGAGGGTCAACACCATCCTTGGTGGTGTTGACACTGCCCTCTTTTCTTTGTTTTGTTCTGCTCCGAGGGTCGACACCAATCTTGGTGGTGTCGACACCACCTTGTTGTTGTGCCCTTGGTGTAGCTACTAAAATTTGGAGTCGACTCCAGTCTTGGTCGACACTTTCCCTGTTATTGGCCTTTGGGGTCGACACCAGTCTTGGTGGGGTCGACCCTTCCATCGCTGCTCTGTCTTGGGTTACATACTGAAATATAGGGTCAACACCTCCAGTTCTTAGGATCGACCCTTGTAACACCCCAAAACAAATACAATAACCATCTATGACAACAAGTAAATAACAATATAAATCAGAGTATAAAATCCTTCTATTACATAGGATTCAAATGTACAAAAGGATGACACATGGGGATATACACTCATAAGTACTAACTCTAAATCTATAGCATGTGTCAACAATAACAACTATGTGAAATAGAAATTAAACAGATAATTGAAATGCCCTGAAGGCTACAGTATTCCAAGACTATACTTGGTTACATCAAAATGGATTTAAGTCCAATACATATAAAGCCCTAGGCTTGTACAAAATAATAACAAGTAAACAAAAATGAAGCCTTCGCTTAAATCCTCCTAAGCTACTGCCTTGGCGGAGACATGTTACCAATACCTGGAAATGATTTTTCATATAGGGTGAGCCAAAGCCCAGTAGAAATAATCTAACACAATATATGAATCACAATAAAGATATAAGGGTGGAATGCATATGCAATTCCTATGTCAAAACGATTTACATTTTTTTTTTTTCAAAAATCATGCCATGCTCAGATTATATCTCAATTCTCAAATCATGCCTTTTACAATAGAAAACAAGGGGAAAATCTCAACCAATTTAACATTTCACAGATATTTCGTTCGCGGGAAACCGTCAAACAACATCCATGTAAACATAGTCTACACAAGAACTACTATTGCCATTTTATATATATTTCGTCCGCAGGAATCGACATCCATGTATATGCGCATTTTTCAGGACTTTCGCCCTGGACACACAAGCCAACTTAATTTGGTGATATACACCTCTTTCCAACATTCACTCATTTTTCTCAAATTCATATACATTTGCAATGTATTAAATGAGCAACAATGTTTAATGCACATGGATGATATATTAGTTTCAATTCACCAAATTCTCATGAAATTTCTACAACAATCTTAGCTATCCTCCACCGATAACCCAAAACAGATATTTCTAAACAGATATTTCTAAACAGATATAAAATCTTCAATACAAATAAACCATTCAATATTTAAGATGTAAGCGATAATACATATCCAACTCCATCATCCATATTAATATCTGTCCAATTTCACATTTCCATCATCAATTTCATTTATTTATACAAAATAAATATTTGGGACATTTAGGACAAATTCCATTTTCTTCCAAAATCCAACCTAAGGGTCAAAATCAGCAATTTGTTCACAACTCAACGTCATTTCCATTCTCACAACCATTTTCCATACAACCATTTGAAAACCCCTATTCTGATTTCAAACCAAAATCCTAGGCATGTTCAAAATCTTCCAAAATCACAATATTGTTTATGAAAAACAAATAACTAAGTTAAAAAAACATAAATAGTGTACAAAATCCCTACCTCGAAGCTAGAAAGCGAGAGAAAAAGAGATGACACTTCAACAACATCGAAATCTAACTATATTCGGATGAAAACGAAGCTTTAGATGAGCTTTACATTTTTAACAAAGGGAGTAGGATGGAGAAATGGGTAGATCTTGGTGTATTTGTAGAGAGAGAGTAAGTTTTAGAGTGAGAGGGTCTCAACTTAGGGTTTTGAAATGTTTTAGAGAGAAAAAGAGATAAAAAGTGATGTAAAATGGCCTTTTTCACGAATTGATATATGCACAGCTCGCTCAAGCACAAGAGTTGTTGCTCAAGTGACTAGACATAATAAATTGTTCCGCTCAAGCGCAAGAAGCTTTGCTCGGGCGCATAATACACACTCCCAGATGTTTAATAGACAGAAAATCGTCGATCGAGCGTAAGAAGTTTCACTCGAGTGAAGAACACTACCTCCCCAGTATGTCTGCAGGCTTGCAAACCTACTAGGAGCTCACAAAGATTGCTCGAGCACAAAAATCTTCGCTTG